AAAAAAAAAAAAAACGGAAGCAAATTAAGTTCATTTTCTTCAAAGATATTGTAAAAATCTATTTCAGTATATAAACAACACGGTAAATAATGAAATGAGGTGACCTTTATTCATTTGCTTTAGATAATAATTAATGAATTCTTTTGTGTTTTGTAGTTTCTGTTTTGTGTTTGATTTTACTTACCTTGCTTTCACTTTCAGTTGGTTCAATCATGAGTGTGCCAGGGACTGGCCACGACATGGTGGGCCCATGAAATCCGTAGTCCATGAGACGCTTAGCAACATCCTCAGGCTCGATTCCAGCGGTAGCCTACAGCAGAGACTATGGTTTAAAGAGGAAAGCGAAAAAAAATATATATATGAAAAAGGAAAAACTATCAATAAATGACAACAAGCCGGACCTTAAAACCTCGCAAGTCTATAATGAACTCATGGGCCACTGTCCCATTGACACCACGGAAAAGAACAGGGTAGTGCTTCTGTTGATCAGGTGACAGCATAACATGTTAATGAGAAATAATAAAGATTAAAAAAAGAAGAAAGAATATATGGAAGAAAAAGAAACCTCCAAACGCTTGGCCATATAGTTGGCATTCAAGATGGCTATCTTTGATGCATCTGTTAGTCCCTTTGAGCCCATCATGGCTATGTAAGTGTAGGATATGGGCAAAATAAGGGCCGAGCCCCATGGGGCAGCAGAAATAGTACCAAGCGGCTGGGAGCTATCAGGTGCTGGTATACCTCCAGTTGGTACCTGCAATATTAGAAAAAGTTAAAAAATAAAACAATGAACTTCAAATGATATATTATTTCAGATAAAGCGCGCATGGAGCCAACTGTAGTACAGGTGCTTTTTTCAATTTTATCGCCTGTTATAATATATTGATATCCGAAAAAGGAAAAAGATAAAATGAAATCACCGCTGACTTTTTACATACCACGGGATGTGACGGTAGAAAGGGTGCAAGGTGTTTCTTCACCCCAATGGGCCCCATCCCGGGTCCACCTCCACCGTGAGGGATACAGAACGTTTTATGGAGATTGAGATGGCAAACATCAGCACCGATAAATCCAGGGCTCGTCAGACCAACCTGCAAGAAAGAAAAATTCATTATCATTAAAAATATATATACACGCTTTACAAGCTGTACAAAGGATTGTCGGAATATAAATGGAGTGTTGGCACAACGGCATTTGAAAGAAAAAAAGATAGTAGCTCTTTTTCATGTGACCAAGTCCTATAACTCTAATAATGATGATGATAACACTGAGTAAGCAATCATCCAGATACACTGAATAGCAACACTAACATCATATCATTTACATTGCGCTTCATAATTCCTTATGTGCTATCATATCTGAAAATTGTACCTGAGCATTCATGTTAGCTCCATCCATGTAAACTTGACCACCGTTGTCATGAATTATCTTGCATATTTCGTCAATGCCTTCCTCATAAACTCCATGAGTTGAAGGATATGTAACCTGAATTGTTTCAGATAAACACGAGAAAACAAAAATCTCAGAGAACACTAATAGCATCATTAGCAGCAGAAATAATAATAATAATAATAATAATAATAATAATAATAATAGTAATAATAATAATATTTGCAGACCATGAGAGCAGCTAAGTTCTCCTTATTTGCTTCAGCAGCCTTTCGTAACTCCTCAATGTTAATGTTGCCTTTGGAATCTGTCCCAACTGCCACAATTTTCATGCCACACATTGCAGCACTTGCAGGGTTCGTCCCATGTGCAGAGACTGGAATGATGCATACATTGCGATGATGGTCCCCTCTTGACTGCATTACAAGTTCACAGTAGCATTACCAGTAAAAGTAAAATTTATGAAACTTGAGAGGGATAACTATAAGAAAAGGAAAAGGAAAAAAGAAGAGAAAAAACTGAGGTAGTATTTGAAATGTCAAAGAATATTGAAATACACTTTCTGATTTAAAGTACCAAGTGATATGCTCGAATAACCATGAGCCCGGCATATTCTCCAGCAGCTCCAGCATTGGGTTGCAGAGAGAAAGAATCAAAACCTGTGATCGTGCACAACAAATCACCCAAATTCTTGAACAATTCCTACAAGGAGAAACATAACGGTTCAAAAATATAATAAATCACCAAAATATTCATAGCAAATTCCTGAACAGATTGAGAAATCTAGAGAGCTGAGTTTCAAAGAATTTTATTTTAACCTGGTAGCCAGCAGCTTGTTCAGTGGGGGCAAAAGGATGAAGATCCGAAAATTCGGGCCATGTTACAGGCATCATTTCAGTTGTTGCATTCAATTTCATTGTGCAAGAGCCCAATGGAATCATGCTGTGGCACAAAGAGAGATCCTTTGACTGGAGCCTGTGAAGGTACCTGAGAAGCTCGTGCTCAGTGTGATACCTACACCATCAGACATGCAAGTTTCAACATTTATATTTATCCTCAATGTATGATTCAGCATACCCGCTTTATATTCATGAAATCAAAAAATAAAATAAAATGACAAAAATGAATAGCGTTTTTCTAAATTCGGTCTTCGTACGAGTTGAATATTTGGTGAGACAAGTATGGGCTCTCTCTAACAAGTCCTGAAGGGATCAAATGTTGAACCTCTGGTGCAAGAGACTCGGCAGTGAATGTCACCTGACCAACATAACACATAAATTATAACACATATAATTGAAATTTAGTAATATGTCTATAAAGGAATACTCTGTACTTACCGGCTTGCCACCTGCAAAGACTCCAAACAACTTGTCCACGTCTTCCAATGTGGTGGTCTCGTCAAAAGAGGCAGTTATCTGAGACACGAAAAGGCACAGTTAATCAATCACCCAGCTCTTAAAAATTTACGACAAAAAAGATGAACAAAACTAATTATTTACCGTGTTCTTATCGACAATCCTCAAATTTATTTCGTTCTTGTAAGCAGCATCGGCAATGGCCTTTGCATCAGCACATTTGACCTTCACAGTGTCAAAAAAGGGAAGGCCCTGGACTTCTACATTCCCCAGCTTTTTCAATCCCGCAGCAAATGTTCCAGCCAGGCCGTGAACCCTTTGAGCAATAGTTTTAAGGCCCTCTGGACCATGATAGACAGCATACATGGCAGCCATGTTGGCAAGTAAGGCCTACATAACAGAAAGGATTTCTTGTAAGTTGTAAAGCAAATATTTTTCAATATGATCACAGTAACCAACATTATGTACATTAGTACATACAAGTGTCTGCAAGCACAAATAGGATTATTAAAAAGCTTAAAAGTTGACCTAAGGCTAGTGAAAGTCTATCCAAATACCATCATTTTAGTTTGTGACTGTGTATCACCCAATCAGAATCTGAAAACAAAAGAGAAGAACACAAAAAATCCCTTTCCACTCTGATTCCATTTTTACACACAAATAGAGACACGGCTAATTCTCCCCTACCAAAAATCATCACCTTTCAACTTGATCCGCCTTTCTTTACAACCACAACAAACTACTCATTCCCAACCTACTTTTGCTTCTACCTAAACAATAACTTCAATCTAAAACAAAGAGCTCTCCTCGTACTCGTACCACAATATGATGTACAACAACTAAAATTTAAATAAAATCGAACAAAATATAAAATGACAAATACTCTCACCTGAGCAGTGCAAATATTACTGGTAGCCTTATCCCTACGAATATGCTGCTCCCTCGTCTGCATCGCCATGCGCAGAGCCTGCTTTCCAGACGAGTCCACGCTCAACCCAATAATCCTCCCCGGCATCATCCTCTTATACTCCTGAGACGTGGCCAGGAAAGCTGCGTGTGGGCCCCCATACCCCATCGGCACACCAAATCTCTGTGCGGACCCCACCACAATATCCGCCCCCAGTTCACCAGGCGGCTTCAGCACAGTCAGCGCCAGAAGGTCCGTAGCCATCACCACCTTCACGCCGTGGTCATGTGCGTTCTTCACAAACTCCTTGTAGTCCACAATTTCTCCTTCCGTTCCTGGATACTGAACCAGAACCCCGCAAACGTCCCCCGAACTGTAGCTAATGTCGTTCACATCTGAGACGATTACTTTCAGGTCGAACCCGTCTGCTCGAGTCTTGCAAACGTCGATAGTCTGCGGGTGGCAGTTGCTGGCCACCACAAAGGTTTTTTTCTTGCCCTTCTGAATGTTGTTGCACATGGCCATGGCCTCAGCGGCCGCCGTGCCCTCGTCGAGCAAGGAGGCGTTGGACATGGGCAGGGCGGTGAGGTCGGTGATCAGGGTCTGGAAATTGAGGAGTGATTCGAGCCTCCCCTGTGAGATCTCGGCCTGGTAAGGGGTATATTGGGTATACCAACCAGGGTTCTCCATGATGTTCCTCAGGATCACGGGCGGGACGAAGGTGTTGTAGTAGCCCATGCCGATGTACGATTTGAATACCTTGTTTTTCGAGGCGAGGTCCTTCATGTGGGCGAGCATCTGCGACTCGGTCAGGCCGCCGTCGAAGATCGGAAACTCCATTTTCTCGATGCGGATGGATTTGGGGACGGTGGCGTCGATCAGCGCATCGAGGGTGCTGTACCCCAGGGTTTCGGACATCCTCGATTGCTCCTCCGGCGTGGCAGAGTTGTGGCGGCGTGGGAAGGTGTCGCTCGGGCGGAGGGCGTCGGCGGAGATGGATCTGGCTGGGATGAAACGACCCGGGTTCGTCGGCGGGGCGGGAGCGCGGGGTTTGGTGAAGGCATTGCTGCTATGGGTTGTTGTACCTTGAACGGCGCTTGGGGATAAGGAGGAGGTGTACCTCGAGGATGCGTTGTACGGCGGGCGGTGGTGTTTGGATTGGGAGACGAGGCGCCGGAAGATGGACCGGCCGGCTAATTGTCTGGCGCGCTCCATATTTGGAGAAGAAGGTGATTTGCAGTCACCCCTGTGAAAGGATTGAAGAAAACTGAAGGGAGCTTTATGGCTCTCTGTGTGTGTTTTCTCAGTTTGTGCTTTTGTGGGAAATATGTCATTTTATAATAGCACAGCGAGTGTGGTGGGTGACGATAGGGACCGTTTTGAGCTTGGTGTGTTTTACAACTTTTAACTATACACTGTAATTTAAAAATATAAAATCTTAAACCTTTATTTGTGCATAGATATTATACGAAACGAGTTGCTTGCAAAGGCCCGATTGGTTAAAAACGAGAGTTCCTTTGACTAATATATAACAAGTCGAGTTCGAGCTAAATTCAGCTCATTAATCAAGCTCGTTATGTTAACAACCAATTTCAACTCGACCTGACTCGAATTTGAGATGTAGTATTGGGTTCGACTAATATATAACAAGTCGAGCTCGAGTTAAATTTAGCTCATTCATCAAGATTGTTTTGTTAATAACCTATCTCAGTTTGCCTCGACTCGAATTTGAAATAATAGTATCGAGAGCTTCACTCGTTTACATCTTGAACTACAATAAATTTTAATCATGTGTGATTATGATTTTACTTAAAATTAAGATTTGCATTAAACTGTTGACAACTGACCTAATAAGCCAACTTCAAGACAAAAATTTATTAATGCTTAATCAAAGCTCAGTCGCCCAAAATCAATCAGCATCACTAACTTGGTGCAACTCGGTACGGGCTAAGCATCGAACCGACTTCACACCTAGATATGAACCGACTTCACCATTAATCGAGGTTGACAGCAGGTGACAACGCACCTACGCGACGGAATCTTGACCACACAAAATGCAATCATTACTGCGGGCTCACCAACAGACAAACCGCTTCCTAAAGCTACTTTGCATTAAATGCAATCACACCTACCTCGTACGCTGGGCAAAACCAAAGCTAATATAAATTGTAGAACTTATTATTGTACGAGGATCTTTTTTCGAACATTCAATACGCTCATGCAAACCACCTCGGTTAATGCGAAAAACCGACTTCTTGTAACACAAAACAATCCTACATTAATACAAATTTCTCGCATTTTATATATTAACTACGTGTTATTATCGTTGTTAAATATCGCATAACAACAAAAACCACTAAATTTAAGAAAACTTACAAAGTTGTAATTCGAGCCAACTGCAGAATATAATAAATTTGAGTGGAAAAAAATCACATGTTTATATTACCCTTCAAATTCATAAACATATATAATAATATGGTGGTATTGAATCTTTCCACAATTTCCGTCTTTACGTGGAGTTGAATCTGTCCACAAATTATTTTTGTTTAAATTTTGACAAATAAGATGTTCAAACTGAATTCTGTTGTGAGATTACTATTATAGATTTATTAATACTACAAAACTAAAGTCACAATAATTTACCAGGTACACTCATGTCAAAATCTAGTGTTTCATATTTGATGAATGGTGCTCCTAGCCTGTGACGCAGCACCAAATGGGGGATTTTGAGGGTTACGTTCTAATGACAAATATCTATATTCTGCAGATTTTTTACCAAAATCAAATAT